TCATAGCAGCTCTGAAATACAAAGAACATCGGGCTCCTGTCCCACATTTCTAAGACATAATACCTGAGAAGAGCTTTTCATTTGAACCTGTGACCCCACCATATGCAGGATTCAACAGATGTTATGATTTTAATAATAAAACCCTTGATGAAATTCCAGATACAGTGATACTCTGGAAATCATAATTTCAGGTCATTGATAATGTTTCAAGGGTCAGACGTTCACTCCCCTAAATCCCCCAACCCTGTAAATTTGGTGAAGAGTCCTAGTCATACTATAATTTATACAACAGTAATGTATTCGAATAACTTTGATAAAGACATATTCAACACAGGGAATTGGATACTGTGCTGGCATAATATGATTCCCAAAGGACATGCAAAAAAATTAAGGCTACAAGATGGAATTCATGTATTAACAAGTTGACATTGGGATGGGGGACTATTCTGAATTATCTTGAATTTATTTAACCACAAGGGTTTATACAAAAAAAATAATGAAAAATACAGTAGTAGGCAGAGCTAACCGTCATGAGGAAGACATTGTGTTGCCTGCCAATTACGACAGTGGAGGAAAGGTCCAAATGCCAAGGAATACATGATGCCTACAGAGCTGGAAGGCTAAAAGAAATGGATGCTTTCTTGGTGCTTTGAGCAGTATAACAGTCTTGCAGATACTTGATTTATGTAATTGGGGCTTGTTTCAGAATTGTGATCTAAGACACAATTAAAGTAGGATTGTGAAAATATGCACATACACAGTGAATGGGACAAGGAGAACAGAGAAAGACTCAGAGCTAGAAAGGGCTGAAGAAATAGTAAGAATGGTATGAGTGGAGAGAAAAAAACTTTAAATAGTCCTAAACCTTAGTAGAAGATTTGAAAGTATTGTTTGATAAATAATGGAAGATGTTGATTATTGCAAAACAGACTTAGGGAGGCAGATGATCACAAGTGAGCATGTATTTTTTTCAGTATAAACACAGTCTTGAGGATCACCCTTAAATTTTCAGTCCCTCAGTCTCTCCTCTCCAAAATTCTGTCAGTAACTATGAATTCAAGACAGTATGTCACGGGTTGAATAGAAGCAACCAAGTACTACATCTTAGATTCAGAGACCCAGTTACAGCCATCTCATCAGAGTACTGAAGAGCTTAGATCATCCTTGGCTGCCACTAAAATCACCTAGCTTTTATGTTAAAAGAAGATCTAGATTTGGTGGGAGTCCTGTCTTCCTTGCTAACTCACTTTTATTTCAAGACTCACCAAGACACAGAAAGGTGGTGTCCTGTGTGACCGCGATGCTGACATTGCCTCAGCACACTTAGCTTCCTGGCTGTGGACTTTCACAACAACAGATAATTGTGAGAGAGTGAGAGCCATGGGTTGTGTGAGGTCTGAGTTCTC